TAGAGTGATAGGGAGACATCTACAGGTATAAGTTTTTTGAGTCTCCTAAGGGCACCAATCTTGGCATAGACCTTTTTTATGACACTCTGAATGTGATCAGCAAATGTTAACTTGTCGTCAATTGTGACCCCAAGGATTTTGAGTGAGTTAGATAACTCGACTCTAGAGTCACCAATGATAAATTGAGGGTCGTAAGCAATATCTCCAATCATCATAGCTTGGGACTTTATGTTGTTGACCATAAGATAATTACGAGAAAGCCAAGACAGGAGGATGTCAATATCATGGTTCAGGGAAATTTCCAAGAAAGTGATATCGTGATGAGATCGATAAGTTGTCGTATCATCGGCATATAGACGCAAGGAAGCGATCTGGCCAGCAAAGTTTAAGTCATTCATATATATATTAAAAAATAAGGGACCGAGAAGACTACCTTGAGGCACACCACATTGAACGGGAAGCCAATCAGAAAATTTGCAATTAAATATAACTCTTTGCTGTCGCTCGGTCAAGTATGACTGGACGAATCTCAGGGCATCATCATTCAGACCATAAACACGCAATTTGGCTAGGAGTAGACTGTGACACACAGAATCAAAAGCTTTGGAAAGGTCAATGGCAATGGTTCCAGTGACTTTCTTAGATTCCAGGGCTAGTCTCCAGTCGTCAACCATTTTTGGAAGAGCAGTGCAACATGAGTGCCCACTTAAGAATCCATACATATTGAGAGAGAAGTGGGTCTTGAAAGCATCATAGAGCTGATCATACATAACTTTCTCAAGAATCTTGGGAATGGACGACAAGATACTGATTAGTCTGTAGTTTTCCACAAGAGAGCTATCATCCTTTATCATATGTTAATATGAGCTATCATATGTTAATATGTTAATACGTAAAATAGCCTGAATAATATAACCATATAAGGTGAGTTTAAGAGGGCAAAGAAGAATTGTCATAAATTTCAACCGCATCGATGAAACATTGAGCTATACGGCGAAAACTGAGAAGGAAGACCTTCATCGATTCTATCACGGGAAATTCTTACTGTATAAAATTACCGTGATACAAATACTTCAAACTGCTGGATCTTGCAAGTAACTTGACATCTGTCAGTCCTTTTGGAAATAGAACTGGCGTTGGAGGTGTCATGATGAACCCAGTTGTGCTTGGTACTTATAATATCTAGTGCTGGATTACTATTGAAAAATTTTTAACGAATGATACAGTGAAATGAGCCGTTTTGCCTCACGTCTTATGAAAAAATATTAAATGACATAAGATTGTTTAGGAGAGGCAGTGAAAGTTCCTCAGTCATTTGAAAGTACTTGGTAATATTGTTATCGAAATGTGACCACTAATGGACAAATTCGACAATGAGTATCGGAAGAAACTCATAAGAAAAAAACCGATTGATTCTGTAACCTCTTTATTCCATCACATATCCCCAATATCTCTGATAATTTATGAGTGTATTCGTTGATTTTGACGTTTCGATGTTGATATCGACCTTCATCAATTCGAATATTTTCTCTAATATATGTAACCCTGATAATTGTCATACGTTTTCTATTACCGATATTTTGCTCTCTTCAAAGACTCTGATGATAGATTCATATTATCGGAAAATATCTGCAGGTTATTTTTATATTAATGTCAAGAAGGAGGTTCATTATGTGGTACTTGCAATGATAGACTGATTTCTTGTAAAACCTGTGTCTGTTCTCATTACAATGAAGATATTCCTTTGCAATATCTTATTGATGGACTGATGAACACTTTATACATATATTTACCTGATATTTTAGTGAGAAAATATTTAAACCGATAATTATATAATCTTGTATTGTGAGCCAGTATATTAGCAGCTGAGAAAGTGATCATAGCCGAATTCCGAATAGTGAGAGTGAATATAGCAATAGTAGTCAATGATATGAAAGAAGTATGGATGATTGCATTGATGACAGCGATATATAGAGGATATTACATGGCCGCTTGGGGATACGAATTTTATCTTCTCGTGCTGAAAGTATCTCTCATGAGTGAGCGCAGCGAACGAGTGAGAGATACTTTCAGCACGAGAAGATAAAATTCGTATCCCCAAGCGGCCATTTAATGTTCTGTTTATTATATAGATACTGATGAAATTTCCACATAAAAGACAACTTTTTTTATTCATATTCGAAACAGCAATTGGGTAATTATGTTGGTAACCATGGCCACACCAATATCCTCACACGTGAAAGATAAAAATAGTATCTTCACTGCGCGCGGTGAAGATATGATTTTTTAGTAAAAGGAGAAATCCTGGTATTTCATCAGTATCTATATAATAAAACAAGTTTGTCTATAGATGACAGCAATGATTTTAGACTGATAAACAAACAAAGAAAGTAAGAGAGTGAACGGGTTGTCTATAGATGACAGCAATGATTTTAGACTGATAAACAAACAAAGAAAGTAAGAGAGTGAACGGGTGTTTCAAGAAGTATTATATAATTTGATTGGATCTAAGCTATGTATCATTAAGGATGGAACAATAGAAAAAAAGTGTTACTAAGTAAAAGCTTGTATGAGAGTTATTCTTTGCGACCGATTATTATTTCATAGAGAATTTAAACTAATAATAAAAAAGAGAACAGATGAGAGAGAGAGAGAAGAGAGATTAATGACATGTTATACCATGTCAATATTATTTCGCCTGAGAGCCACGAAAATTGTAATTTGTAACCCCAAATTATGCAGATCGACCCGAGGTCTATGAAAAAGTGCCTTTTAACTCCTGGAGATAGTGACGTGAAAAATATCGAGGACAGCACAGGTAGTCTACTCCATAAAGGCTTGAGACACTAGACTCATATTCAACTCAATTTTTTAGGATTATTACTTACCACTCGCCTAACACTCTGAGAGAGCGGCAACTAGTCATCGTAGAGTAATGCAAGAAGAAGTTCATGTAATGGGTAATTGTTCCGCTTAGAAGGGGTATAAATGCACCCATCTCAGTAGATTTGGAGGTTCGGAAAATAAACGAGTATTAAGCATTTGCTTACTAATTTTCGTACGTATTATGAAGTTTGTTGCCAAACCTTTTTTCCAAGGATTTTTAAAGTTCACCGTTTTTTTATTATTATTGAAGCAAAATTATATTTGTAGGCTTTCTTTTGAACCTGGTTCGACCTCAATAGCTTTCAGGACCATATCATTTTGGTGAAATCCTGGGAACCTCGATACGTGACTCGAACCAAAATTGGTCGTCCAAAGGTTTTTTTCTGTTCCTTGATAGTCACTTGTGCTATGGGTCCTGAGGCCTCTTACAGATGCCTCCTGTTGAAAAAGATGCAAGACACTTTTTTCCGAGCAAGATTTCTAAGCATCAGTGAAATTTGGTAAAGGTCAACACAACTGAAGTTTCTTTTATTAAGAACTCATTTATTTATGTATTTATTAGCTTGCTAATTTTACTACGATTCGCGACTAGGTATTATATGTAGCAAGACCTTCATGAAGGACTTGTTACGTTCGTAGTTTACTCATTAGTTTGCTACCGTTTTCAATGCTACAGAAAATTTGAATGCTGTTAAAAGGAAGGACTTCTCAGGACTCCTCCATCCAGACCCGCTTCATCTCCAGTAGACTTTCTTTCGAACCTGGTTCGACCTCAGTAGTTTTCAGGACCATACCATTTTGGTCAAATCCCAGGACCCGCTTCTTATCATCCTCGATACATGACTCAAACCAAAAGTGGTCGTCCAAAGCTTTTTTCTGCTCTTTAATAAACATCACATCTAACAGGTTGGCTTTTTTCACTTGTGCAATGGTCCTGAGACCTCTTACCTCTGCACGCTGTTGACCAAGATACAAGACATTAGAGAGAATTCATGATGTTAAACAAGATATAAAACATTAGGAGAGGAGTCCTAATCATCGCGTTAAGGGAGAGAATGGTGAGGAGCTTTGAGCGGAGGAGGAATATTACTTTCAACCGAAATTTCTACTTTTCCTCTGGTTCTAATTTGCATAAATTCGCCACTCCTCTTAAGTTTGTTTGCGTAGCTCTTTCTCGGAAATTGACGGCATCAGAACAAGTGGTTCTCTCAATGCTAAATTTTGCCTTCGAGTCTAATTTTTCTGTTCTGCGCGGAAATATATGGGCAAAGGGTTAGATTACCAAGCTTTGTTCTACAAGTTAAGATAAAAGTAAGCTCGGGTAGAGCACTTCAACAAGCTTGTGATTGTTTTACTCGATCCGCAACAACTGCGATATTTTCGGGCGTAAATTCCGCGTTCGTTGCTGGGAGGTAAAAAGCAAAGAATATTTTGAGTTTGGTTAGCCAATCAGAGCACTTCTTCGACGCTATCCACTGTTTTTAGTATTTAGTGTATGCGTAATGAAGATATTACTGTTTAATTTAGGTCGCGTGCGCGCCAGCAGGACAATTCAAAACGGATTGAAAGCATTCTCAGCAACAATCTTCTCAAATTTTCTATGAAATGGTTAGAAATGGAACTCATCATGAACATAATTCTTTCATTTTTATCTTTACGTTTAAAGTTGGACGTTCACATAAAGGGCGAGTATTTGTAAGAATTGGTACCTTAACAGTGATAGTGTCATCCTCTGGGTTTACGGCCAAACAGGCTCCGCTGACCTGATTCTCCAGAATGTAATAGTCATACCACTGCTCGTTCCTCCTTTCCGTAAAATTGTGTAAATGAAATTTTGCTGTAAGAGAAAAGAGGACATCTCTATGAAAGTGAAAACACTGCTTGGTTTAAGGGGAAGTCAGTTCAAGAGGAAGGAGGATCGGTGCTCCTAAAAGCTGTTTTGGGCCAATACCCTGACACTTCTCCGTTATGTCGCCAATTGTAAGCTTTTAATCAATGAAGAATACAAAGGAAAAACAGATGTTTATTTACTGTAACGAGGTAACACCAGGAACAATCTTCTGTTCGCCTTGGTTTGATAAAATATAAACGCTCCTTCAGAGCTCCTTCCTCAACTTACTGAATAGAGTCGCCAATCAAACCTAAATATAACGAATATTGCAAACGGAAGATACCTTTGTCGTCTTTTTCGACTGCAGTTGCGGTCACGCTATCCCCGTCCATCTTCACAAAATGACCAGGGACCTGACCTCCTTTATTCTGAGATAAGAGTCGATGTCTCGATGTAAACCACTGGCGGTAAATTCCGTCAAAACTCTTGATGGGCCCTTGTCCCTGAAAAAGACAAGAGAAAAGTAATTTAATAATAATAAGACAAGAGAGAGCTGTGGAAAATAAGTTCCTCCTATTCCTGCCTGAAATAAACTGACTTTACTGATGCCCACCGTTATGTTAAATCGATATGTCTACTTTAACTACTAGCGGTAACTTTCCATCGACTCTTTACAGGCTCTTGCTGTAAGTGCTGCAAGTGAATAAAGACAAGAAGAAGGAATAACTCTAAAAATACTGGCTTCCCAAGCTGTCAATGAATTGACTGACGAGGGTCGCCGTGTTTTAGAACGAATCATGAGTTAATGATTCTTTAAGAGGTGTCGCTTGGAAATACGTAACGACCTCAACAAATTCTGCAATGCCGCTTTGAACTTTTTAAATTTTTCCGGTTATTTTAGTACAACCTTTTCGGGCCAAAATTCAGGAGGTCAATTTTTTTTTTTAATTTTTAACTATTTGCACCCAGTAATTTTTTTTCTAAAAATTTAACAATTAATGCCGGGGTCCTGAAATTACCAGCGACTCGCCACTTGAAGGTTTTAACTCTTCAAGCCCTCAGGGTGACTGATGTGGATCTAATTTCTCACTACCATATCATTCTTGAATCAAACATGTAAGTTACGAGAATAAAGGAAACAATCACCAACTAAAGAAGATCTTGATTGTTTAACAAATTCTCCTTGTCAGTTCCGTAAGAAATGTATAGAGAACAGTATGGAGAATATGCATACTGATGCCAGGACGTAAGGGGTTAAGAGCAGATCCGTGCAAGAATCAAACAAAATCGCAAATCTTCGAAAAAACTGAAAAAAATCAAATTCACTCGTCTTTTGCATATAGATAGCCTCTAGTGAGTATATGAATGCCATACAGTTTTTTCCTTGAAATATCAGTTATTCCTGAGAAAAACGATGGATATCATTTTCAACTTAGGCACAATTTGGCGATCCCAAACGCGTGCAAACAAGGTGGAAATTAGTCATGATTCACTTGACTCGCTCGTCAAAACTGCTTCGCTAGAAAAAGCCGCAATAGTTCCAATTTGTTGTATAACTTGCCATGGTCTAAACACCATGATTTCATAGACATTAGATTTATCTGAGTATTCAAGAGAAGTAAAGAAGTTATGGCTCTCCCGTGCTACGTAAAACAGTAGGCGAAGAATAACTATAATTTTGAGCATGTACCTTTGATTGGAATTTCGTAAGATTAAGAATGAAAATACCCGAGTTAATGATCTTTCAAACTATGTAAAGTTTACTTTGGGGAAAGGACTGTCGGATTTTTAAGAATTTGTTGAAAATCGTCAACGAAATACCTAAAATCACGCCATGTTGTGTATGCGTGACCATTGTTAAAAACAAAATCGTTTTTGTTTTAGAAATCATGGCAACTCAAAAAGCGTAAAGAACAATGCAAATATACTGACCCCAACTTGGATATGATATTCTCGAATTTTCAAAGTACTTCATTTTACCGTTTGGTTAATTTCATTCGTGAGGTTTATCGAGAACAGAGGCCCGCCGCTGCTTGCAGCCACGATCAAAACCGTCTTAGTTTTCAACGAATTCTTCGTAGCTCACTTTTCACATTTGTACTCTTTATACTGTTAATACAACTTCTTCTGAAAATTCTGAAGGAAACCATTAAAGGGCTGACAATAAAACCAACTAGTTCAAGCATGTGTTCCCATGCAGTTTACCGTGAACCGTTCTGAGACTTTATGCAAATTACTTCTTGCTCGCAACGCACAACAAAATTTGCATATCAGGCTGAGTAAGAGTACGTGACAGTAATTGGTATATAGGGTGGATAAGGTATTCTCAGTGGCCAAGATTGGGTCTTTTAGGCATATGTCTCTTTTCTTTTGTTTTTGACGATCGTTGTTCCGAAGTTTTCGATCAAATCAGTTCAAAACAGGAAAGAGGTCACGATGGTTTTCAATTAACAGAACTACCCTACGTAATTTGCATAGCGCAACATTATAATATGATAAATTTGCGAACATGGACTGGCGATTATACACCCGAAAGAGCAAAAACCTCTACAATTTCTCCAAGAGCAGGAACACGCAAAGTATTGTCTTTCTTAAATTTAGAATTTTTATTTAGTTCACGTGGGAAATAAAACATGCACTAATGAGGTTAATTTTTAAAATTACATAAAATTGAGGTATTCGATTCTTCAAAGGTAAGTAACAAGAAAGACAAATTCTTGATAAAATAGTTAATCAGCGATCTAAAGAGAAATCTGCTACCCCAAAGTAACGCATTATAGAGAGAGACCGCATACTTCCTTCCCCCCTCCCCCTCCTCCCACCCCAACTCCATGAACAAATTTAACTCTCACGCAAGCTCGTTCGGGCTCTCTGCAATTTTTTTATAGATTCAAGTGAATAAAATTTGCATACAGTCTATATAGTCGGCTCGATCAGTGTTTTAATGAATTTTGTCGCAAAGAACACCAACACGTCGTATCGAGCACACAAGGAATACAAATTGCAAAGTTTAGACGTTTTCAGGAGCAGCCGTTTTGATCGAACCGCGACATAAAGTGACGATGCAGAGGTCAAACTTACAGAGACTACAGAATGGAGAAAACGGAAAAACAGACTGAAACTCTAGACTCATATGAACAGCTAAGAACATAATATTTGAGTTAAGGTTATTATATTTACTTTCAGTTGCTATATGTATCGGAGTCGTGTTAATTTTTATTGCATCAATGTCTTGATGGTCACATGTACACAACAGAATGGCGTGATTTTTGTCTTTCTTCACGATTTTCAAAAACTTGTAAAAAATTCCAAATTCATTTCCCCAAACCAAACTTTACATATTCTGAAAGATCATCAACTATAGTATTATCATTCGTAATCTTACGAAATTCTGAAAAGGCACTTGCTAACAATTATCGTTGTTTTTCGCCTACCGTTTTACGCAACACGGGAGAGCCATAAGCTTTGACTTCTCTTGAATACTGGAATTCATCTAGTCTTTTTGAAATCGCGGTGTTTAGACAATGACAAGTTGTACAACAACTTGGAACTGTGATAGCTTTCCCTAGCGCAGTTTTTTTGATACGCGAGTTGAGCAAATAAATTTTTTGAGGAAAAAACTGCACAGCAATTGTCTGCTTTCGAAAGGCTACTTGTATGCAAAAGAACAGCAATGTTTGATTTTTGCACGGATTTGCTCTTAAAAACTGTAGTAACCGCTACAGGAAATCTTCCGCTTTCCGATTCAGAGAAATTCGTTCTCGATCTGGGCTTAAATTTTGTGCGAAAAATGAATTAAGGGGATAAGTTTCTAAAGAAACTGTGGTGCTGCGTCGGTAGGGAGCACGACATGATAATTTAGTTTTCGTCAGAGCGAATGACGAAGGGCTAAAGTTCGAAACGTTAACTCAGTGTTAATGTTAACGTTAACTTGTTAACGTTAACTTGTCTTTCCCTCATCTTAAAAAAACCAACGAATTCTCAATAAAGCAAGACACTGGTATAATTTCTTCGAATCTCTACTCTCTTTCACATGCGATAAAAACATAGGCAACTCTTTGGTCAGAAATGGACTCCAAGCAAACGATTAACCCTGAACTTGCGCACGCACGATGCAAAACTTGTCTTCTTATTTATAAATTTGAGAAACATTGGAACCCAGACGATCCATGAAGACACTGATCTTTTCACCTATACCTCTGCCAATGTCATCCATAACATAAACTGCACCCATTGTAAAACATATACATCGGCAAAACAGAAAGACGAAGAGGCGACCGTTTTGGAGAACGCCTTCGAGGTGTAGACAAAAATGATAACGACGCATCCAAAACTAGTGGCTAAATACTTTAATCTCCCTAATCATTTTAAGCAACATTGGCAGTTTGTGGCCTTTCCCTACATCTAGGCAGCTCGGAAAGCCGCAAAACTATAAAACGAAGTTATCTTTCAAATCGGCACTCTTAATCCCCACGGTATCAACAAACGCTTTTCCTTCAACGGATGTATTCTTGGGTTTTCACTTTACCATCAGTGTCCCCGCCAATAGCTTAGCTCCATCTCTCTCTATATAAACCACACACTCTCTCACGCGCTGAAGGAGGGCTAACGCTCGAAACGTCAACATCAGAATCTCTTTACGATGCCAATTCACAATATAATTTTAGTTGATAAAACGAATTTTTCTTGTAAGACTCATAATACCCCCCCACGGACGCAACACCACGGCTTCTTTAGAAACTTACCCCATTTATTCTCCTGAAGATACTGACGAGTGGCTGATGGATAATTGTTTAGACCAATTTTTGATCTCCATTAAATATTAGTTGCAATATTTTGGCCTAATTAGGGTGCAGTCCTACTTTTTAGTTTCGTACTAGAATTCTGTGAAAACAAGAAAGTCCAAATGTTTGCATATGTGGTCTGTAAATCAGTGACTCCATAATATTTAATTGGAGTTATTTGGAATTAAGTAACGTGATTTCAGTTGTATGGATATTTCAACTTGTTAATGCCGAAAATTTGGTCCATTAGATGGCTGCAATTTTATCATAGTTTCTGTTTATCCATTTTGTCTATTTTGTTTTGTCTACGATGCTTTTCAAACCCCTTCGCCTTGATATCCATGTATAGCGAACAGCAGTATCTTAGAAACCGCAGTGATGATAACTGAGGTAATTTCTCAAAACGATAAACTTCTACAAGAGTTTTTTATAGATGAATAATAAGATTAAATATGTTCAAAGTTACCGGCAAATCTATGTACCCAGCACCAGTGGCCGGCTTATCCTCGGTGGGCATTATTGCGATTTCTGGACACTTTTCCTAGACTTTCTCAGGGTTGCTCCACCACAAAGCTATACCTTTGTGACTGTCAAACGTATCTTTTCAGTATCTATTTGGTGCCTAGGATTAACTTGGCGATATATATGATTCTGACATAGAAAGCGAAGTAAACTGCAATTGGGCAAGTTTTCATATGTACAGGAACGGATGTTGTTTTCTGAAAATAGCCGTGAAAACATTGTTTGACGCATTGTGGATGAAAGAGAAAGAAATGTGTTTTTCATGACGCTAAAAAAAGATGGAAAAACGTTAGCTTGACTGATCGTTTTCGTTTGCTGCTCGAGTTTTTCGATACATATTTACTTGACTTTTCTTAAGAAACAAGGTGTTATCCTGACTTTGTTTTTTTCATCTACATATCAAATGGGTTTCAATAAACCTGCAGTCACCCTCTCCTCTATTACCAAATTCTACTGAAGGAAACTTTTGATCATCTTTATTTTCTCTCCTTCATTTTCATGATGCTTTTGTAGTTATTTGTGCTTCTTATAGAAAATGAATAAGATCTATCCGATCGTATATTTCGTTTATAGTCTCCCCACTTCCTTAAAACCCGATGCGAAAGTTCTGTTACAAATATTTGGTTATAGTCTACTCGTTCGATATACGATTGTGATTCAAATATCACTGAGTATTTCAAATTAAATAGGAGATAAATGTTTCCTTTCAATGAAATAAGGAAATGGATATCGTTTCATTGCGTTTCGTTGTGAAAAAGGTGCCGGTGTGTGGGGGATCGGGTGAAAGGTGCCGGTGTGTGGGGGATCGGGTGAAAGTTGGTGTAAGAGCTGTAAGTTTTTCAACAATTAAGCCAATGTGATAACCATCCGCCTTAGTTTGAGACCAGAAACAGGCGCAAAAGACCAAATGAGAGAGAAACAGGAGTAGGGCTTTCAGCACACTTTAAAGGATGCTTAACCGAATGACAGTTTTTTTATTCTAGTTGAAAAACGATTTGATTTGAGATTCGAATCTTTAAACGATTTCCATTTCGACTAACGTAATCAAATTTCGCTTCGAAATGTAGTCCTCGACAAGTGGTGTGCGAATCGAATCTATCGTCACAAGCTTTTCTTTCGCTTTAACGAATCGAGATCAATATGAAATTAAGATCGAAGTATTGTAACTACATCTGTCAGATCATTGCGTAAACAAAGAATACCGCGAGAGCTCTTCAACAGGCAAAGACTTCCCTCCTGTTTTACTTCTACTTTACGACATCAAAGGTAGGAAGTCTGGGACAATGAAAACAATGAACAGCGCACGTTTCCGGTGTTAATAGAAAAAAAACGAAATTTTATGAAACAAAAAAAATATATTGTACATGTGACAGATGACGTAACTTGTAGGGGTGTGGTTGTCACACGTTCTTCCTATGGGAAGGGTCGGTAGATTGGGAAACTACGTCTGACACTAGTTATCAGAATTGGGTGTGCATTAATGTCATTATGGCCTTAATACGCCATGTGAATACAATCAAGTTAATAGGGCTTTGAATCCTAAATGAAAATCCCCTAAGACTCGCATGTTATGTGAATAGGTGGATAAGGTCTTAAAGAATCGGACGTTTTGAGCGTCTCTCTGAAACTTTTCAATTCCAGTCTTACTGAGTGTTGGCCCTCATCCTAGCCCTAATCCGTAGTTTATACCTCATGATTGTAAAGGAAAATCGACAAAAAAGTATACAAAAATATATTCTGAAAGAGAGACTCGACATATCTTCGATGGTCTTGAGCTGCGAGTCTTATCCTAACCCAATCGAAAAGGTAAGGTTTTCGGGCCCTCATTGGTATGAAAGCGTATTTCTAAGCACAAAATAGTCATTGTACAGAGATTATATGAAAGAATTGTATAATATCAATCACTTTCTCACTTGCACGAGGCACTTTCAAATAAAGTTAGTGTGAAAACTGTATGAAGACTAAGATCAGATTTTATCAGTTTGAGAGGCTGCGTTCACGATGGTATATTTCTAGTTTTTTTAAGAGTATTGCATTGCACTCACCTAACGCATATACTTTCCGGGAATATCAGTTGAAATATTTTGATTAATCAGTGCAAAGCGTTTCAAGGAAAAGTTCTTGTAAATGGATCACTGTTCCTTTAAGAGGGGAGAAGATTTGCAGGCATGAATAAAATTAGTCCGAGGTCAACACAACTGCAGTTTCTTTGTTTAAGACTTCATTTATTCAATAATATGCATTTATTGGCTTGCTAATTTAACTACGCTTCGCGACTAGGTGTTATTTGTGGCAAGACCTTCATGAAGGATTTGTTACGTTTGTAGTTTGCTCATTAGTTTGGAAACAAAATCTTTTTTACCGTTTTAATACGGAAAATTTGAATGCTGGTAAAAAGAAAGTCTTCTCATGGCTCCTCCATCCAGACTCGCTTCATCTCCAGTAGACTTTCTTTCGAACCTGGTTCAACCTCAGTAGTTTTCAGGGGCATACCATTCTGGTCAAATCCCATGACCCGCTTCTTACCATCCTCGATACATGACTCAAACCAAAAGTGGTCGTCCAAAGCTTTTTTCTGCTCCTTAATGAACATCACATCTAACAGGTTGGCTTCTCTGACCTGCTTGATGGTCCTGAAGCGTATGACATCTGCATGCTGTTGACCAAGATACATGAGACATCAGGGGGGGAGTCATAATCATCGTGTTAAGTGAGCCTGAGGAACTGTGTGTAGCTTAGAGAGTAGGTGGATCATTCATTTCAGCAGTGAATCCAATTTAGGCACAAAAAATAACAATTCTTCTTTGGTTAGCACCGGCTACTCGTTTTGGAAATTTGAAGGCAATAGAACGATTGAGTTATATACTGCCACTTTTTCCTGATTTCTGACTTTTCTACCTTTACAAGAAATATTTTAACACAGGGATTGACCACCAATTTCTAGTTTAGAACTTGAGATTAATAAAAGAGCCGTAAGGTTTGCGTTCGTGACTCTGTTTACAACAGGTGGCGCACACTCGACGAAAGGCGTGATTGCGGAGTGCATGGCACAAACGGAGTGTAATCATTCTCAAAAGTAACTTTGCGAAATGTCTTGTGTAACGGATACGTGGAAAACCTATCATACTTGTAACTCCTTTTATGAAATCTTATCATTTTAAGTTGGACGTTTTTACTTAGATGATGTACATTTGTTATGGAGTGTTACCTTAACAGTGATGGTGTCATCCTCTGGATTTACGGCTACCACGCCCCCACTGATCTGATTCTGCAGAATATAATAGTCATACCACGTCTCGTCCTTGTTTTCCGTGAAATTGTGTAAACGAAATTTTGCTGTAGGAAAGAAATTCGAAAAGGAAATCTCAATGAAATGAAAACACTGCTTGGATTACGGGAAAGACATTTCAAGAGGAAGGAAGATTAATTCTCTCAGGGCCGTTCTGAACAATTTTTCAGAATTTAATTTTTCATTGACGAAAACCCATAGGATTAAAAAAATAGAAGTTACCAGGATATCTGAAGGCCTAGGAAATAACTTTAATTTTTGCTGTGATTTGATAAAGCATGCTGCTTTATCATGCCTCACTTGAATCGTGGCCTTTTCTATGCCTGCGTAGGAGTGTTGGCTGGAGCTAAAGACGGACTTTAGTAAACAGTGGATACCTTTGTCGTCTTTTTCGACTGCAGTTGCGGTCACGCTATCTCCGTCCATCTTCACAAAATGACCAGGGACCTGACCACCTTGATTCTGAGACAAAAGTCGATGTCTCGATGTAAACCACTGGCGGTAAACTCCATCAAAACTCTTGATGGGCCCTTGTCCCTGAAAAAGCGAGAGAAAATAAGAGCTCGGAAGATATTGCTGAAAACTAATTCCTGAAGTTAGGAATGCTCAAACTTACCGGCTCTTCATCCCAGTGATCGGGAATTGACCTATCTTCAATTGGCATTGTTGAGTTTTCTGTTTAGCTTTCCGAGTATCGTTATAGATCCCTTCAGCGACAACAACGATCAAGCTGTATCACCGTCAAGTATCTCCTTTTATAAATTTTTCGGAAATCTAAATAGCATTATGATTCCAAGCAGGAAAGTGAAGTAAACTACAATTACGCAAGGCAGAAATGATTTTGTTATCTATAAACAGCCTTGGAAAAAAAAAACTTTTGACGCACAATATAAGAAAAGAGAAAGAAAGCGCTAGCGTGCTTGGTCACTTTTCATTTTCCACTGTCACGCGACCTTTTTTATGTTTTCCTACTCGATTATTCTTGAAAGGGAAAGTTCATGAATTCAGAATTGCTTAGTTTTCTTCGCATGAACACGATTTTAAATGACCATTTTAAAATAATTGTAAAATCTATCCTGTGCATGAAATAAAAGATTCCCAGCGTAGAAAATATTTAAGCATGAGGTGGCATCATAATCGAAATGTCAAATTTGTGTACGTTTTGTAGTTCCCTCAGAACCACCTCCCAGTCATTCCATCTCCTTCTCGCTGATATCTTTAGTTATGGTTTTTTCCATTATCATTTATACGTTGCCGTGGCAAACAAACAAAAGGTTGAGCAGTAACGTTCTAACCTGTACCGGATTTAATGTACGTGACGCTACCGTTACTTTATTTTGAAACTGAATCGCTCTTTCATCTTGCTACTACGTTCGATGACACTCTATGATGAACTCCCTCGAAAAGGCGGGATTTATTTTTCATTTTCAATTTCTTCGTGGAGATAAAGCAACCAAAAATGTGCCATCGAAAATTAAAGTTTGACTCTTAGACCTTTGAAACAATCGAGAAATTTGAAGTTGATATGACTATTTTGAGTCAAATTTTTCTATTCGAACTGCTTTTTTAAAAGCTTCTTCGCGAAAAGCGATCGTAGCGTTAGGGAATGTAGTTAAGCAGATACGATGAGATTTTAACTACTTTCTTGGGAAATAGAGGACTTTGGGAAATGGCTTTAAATGTTCCCGTCAGCTTAACAACGATCACCAGCTGTGAAACACGGCTGCGCTCGATAAATCCTTTGTGGAACCCGCAAAATTTGACCTTCAGCTTTTTCGTCAGGTGCTCGCTGCATTTGAACAGGCTTCAAGATAGAACAGCTCCTGATCTGTCGGAATCAAGCGAAAAGAAGAAATCTGATCAAAGCAACATTCGTGCGGCTATTTTCAAGGTTGCAACTGGCCCCGGGTTCACAGACTCCTAGAATTTCAATATTTTTCCCTAACGTAGCTAATACACATACACATGAGAAGCACGTTCATTTAATGGATAATTGTTCGGCTTAAATTGAAGGAGAAAAGGTTAAAACTATATCAAACTGTACTGTTAAAAAGAAGGCGAATTGAGTCATTCTAGACGACTTCAAGCTAATCGTGATGAAATGCTATCTAAAAGTTAACTCAGTTCAGAATTCTTGTTCGGTCTGATGGGACATAACTCTGGTTGAACAGATACCAACTTTAATGGGCGGCTGTCGTGGGTATTCGTTCGATAATTTCTTTTTCTTTTCCTTGGTGTGATCTCGCTGTGATATTTTGGAATCTTTATTATACGAAAATGAAATTCATGACCATCTACATCATCTGTTATTTTTATTAATTCCTCAATACGTAAGGTTATACTTTTTTATATGATGTCAGCAAAACAACTGCACTATTTTCGGTATCAGGGGAAAATTAGTCACAATGTTAATTTCTTCCTCAACACCGATTTTTAGTTCATCAAGTTTGCAATTGTAATCGAAGCAGTTTTGTCATAACTAATCACAATCAATAACTTAAAGCGAGGATAAATCCCTCTTTGGATTAACTTTTATCAAATTCATCCGAAGGCAAATACTGAAATAACTGTGTCTCATTCTTGTTTTTGCCTCTTTTCTCGGCTTCTCCATTGTCAGTTGTTGACTAAAATGTTATCACCCGACAAGAGAATTTATAACATAACCAAAGTAAGCGCGCGCTCTGATTGGTCAATTTAGCGTCCCCCATTTGCCATGGGTGTACGCTGCTGACGTGAGCAAATGCAAAGACTATTTTTCCGCGCGCGCTTGTTTACGCTTCTTTCGTGCTTAGCAACCTCCCGCGTGCATCCATAACTCAATAGTGTACGCTGTGGTGTTTACCATTTGTTAAATGTTAATTCTCTTGCTCCTGATTATTTGTCACAATTTTTTCGCTCCGGTGGTTAAAAAATTGCCATGTGATCTCCAAACTGTTTTCATTTTTTTCATTTTCCAAATTCAGTACTTTCTTGATGCTGACGAAAATTGTTAGCCATAATATACTAAATCATTCTGCCGGTGGGTGTTAAAGCGGAAGGACAAGCACTCGTATAAAACGGAAACATTCCCAGTGGAGGATAATTCGCCGAGATATCCCCTTGATGGGTCACTATCAGAATTGGAATCAGGATTTTTCTTCGTTGGTTGAATCAACCGACAGCCGTAAACTTCCGTTTAATAAATAAACAAATGCGAAAAGTCATTTTGAAAAGAGCGGTCCTCAACTTTGGTTTTAAATTTATTCGGTTTAATTTTGTTGAATTCCGATTTTCTGCAAGTGAATCTGACCTGATTCCTGAGCTCTACATCTTTCACTTCAGTTATGAATAAGAAAGAAGAAGTCGTCTTCTTTTTTCCTTTTTTTTGTCCGTCGTTCTCCTCCCTCAGTTTTCTTTTGGTTTTCATCTTATTATTTGTTATTCATCATCAAATGTTCCATCATCATTATTTTTTCTTTGGCTTTCAGTACAAACGAATTATCGGCGTTGTTTACAGTGAAAATTCGCTTAGCAAACTGTCTTTTTGTTTTCGATGCCAAGTTTTTCAATATCTCTATCCACCGCCTGCGCTTAGGCCTTTATAGATTATGCTAGCATAATTTTTGGCATAATTTGAGCAAACTGGCATAATTTCTGCCAAGTAGCAATGCTAGCATAATTCGCATATTTTTATTATTATCGGATCATTTTTAATGCTACAATTTGATCATTGTTCATCTCTACTCCCAAGCACTTGGTGACGTTATACGATGTTTTAAGTTTTAGTTCAAGTAGTAGCATTTGTAGTTCACTGTGAATCACTGAGCGGCGTCTGAAACGGTCTGAGCCCGGGACTGGGGTGCTCCGGAACCGGAAATCACATTGTAGGCCATATATAGTCTAGTACTAGTGTGCATGTTAACACTGAACCACATGTTTATTTGAATTTCATTGTGGATTTGTTGCGTTTCTTTCTTGTAGACCAACGGCTTCTAATTAAAAAATTTATTTTTTGGACTTACTTGCAATTTTTTCTAAGAGCCTAATTTTAAAAAAAGGAGCGTAATTTGGAAAAAGAGCATAATCTTAGCATATAATTTCGCCAAAAAAACCAATGCTACTAGCATAATATGCTACTTTTACTAGCATAATCTATAAAGGCCTACTTGCGCTTCTCTTTAAATACCCAAAGACATTTCTGGTCTATGGGCACGCCCTACTATTAGGTGGTGGTGGTGGGGGGGGGGGTTTCACCCGAAAAAACATACTTTTTGTACCAACTGTAGTGGAGCCAGTTTTAGTTCAAACCATAGCAAACTATGTATCGCTGAAAACTGAAGCTCAAGAGTCAGGAAGTCTGACTGTGCCTATTTTTGTGCTGCGATCAGCCAAAGAAATTTGATACCTAACTCTCAAATATACCACCCACAATGCAAGACCTATAGGTACTTGAGAAATGATTTCTCCTTCAAAACTAGGGAGCATGAAATCATACCCAAAATTATGGCTTCAGCGAAAATCGTGTTTATCACCACCATTACCTTGGGAGATAGAAGCTTTGATATGCTAATTTGCTCAAATAAATTTTACAGTAAGATAATTGGATAGCCAGCGCCCACTCCTCCTTCTTGGAGAGGGAACAACCTGACAATTGTCCTCGGATTTTGCCTTCTTTACAAATCATCGTGCGAGTGAATTAAATTGCATTTGACGCTCGAATCGCTTTGCTTAAATACGCGAGGTTTAAATTTCCTCTACGTCTTCCCGATGCGTGCAACAGTTCTCTGTCTGCTTGCGAGTGTGGTTGATGGTACATTTAACAGACCGAGAAGCATTTACGCCGGGTCTCTTATGCTGTTGCTCTCAACCGCAAATCAAGCCTTGTTTTACTCAATCCCAGACCCCCTCGAGCCTTTATCCTTCGCCGGTCCTCCCCTTCACGCCAACTTCGTTAAACATGTTGTTCAAAATGGGGAAAATTTCGGGGGGTCTTCTTGGCAAAGAGAAAAACTATCTATTAGCTCATGATGGGAAGTGGAAAAGCGGCGAGCGAATACACAAAATAATCTCTAAATGACGAAATTATCTGAAGTACCTTCATTGTTACTGTTGCTCAACTACTGGGCGCGAGTTCAGTTTGCTTCGAACGGTAGGTACGATGTGAAAGAAAGAAAACAGACAAAAAAAAAACAACAACAAAAGAAGTTCAGGATTGTATACAAGAAAGGCTTTATGCCATATCTTAGGTCAATATGGTTTAAGGATAATTTGTTAACCTTGATCGATTTTGTTCGAAATATTTTAATCTTATGAGAAAATTAAAAAAAGTCGCCAATGACACATGTTGGGCTCATCACATAATATTATGAATAAATGGTGTATAATTTATCGATGTACTTGCTTGAAAGTGAAAACCACTGTTATTTCAGCATGTCCGTAGCGATTGCAATGTTTCGGAGCACTAAATCCGGTGAGTTGTATCTTAAGTTTACCTGGCGTTCTTCAGTGCAGAAAAACACGTGTGGGATCGATATGGATCGAATAAATCACAAATCTACAAGTCCAAACGTATTGTTCGAGATTCACATATTTGTTGCTCTGTGATACCGGTATCGTAACTTTATTATTACATTTTCCTCGCCATCTTGAATATCGCGTAGAGACCTGGGGTCGAAAGCAGGTTAGTTGTTAAACTTCGATAAATGTGATTGGTTAGTTTGAAGTGCGTTAGGATCTGGCGGTTTCTCTGAACGTCGTTGATCGTCGCTTCATCGTTGCAATATCCTAACGCTTGGAGGACATTTCCTCGCTTCTTGGTTCGTTTGTCGTCAACGATGGCAACCGAAACTAATCCTCTGAAGGTACTGATTTTTTTTTTAAGAGATTATAGTATCGATGCCACGTGGAAGCGATCGCAGATGAGGCGTAGCACGTTCGATGTCGCGGTATCAGAGGAAGCCAAATTTTGATTCAAATCTTCACTCTTTTATGTACACCATTTCACTCTTTCGTTGGCGTACTTTGTATGCCGCATTTAGAATCTAATCAAGGGTAACATCGTTTACAGAAAATGAAGAATATATCATGGTATAGGTAACATACTCGAGAAAGCCCTGAATTTCCCGCCACTCTTTACTAAGCTAATCGAGAACAACTGCAACAGAACCTAAACAATGTTGGATTCTATTTTTGTACAGGAGATCATGAATAATGGAGAAAATACAAAGAGCAATGCTTTTGCTGCAAAGAAGAAAAAACGACTGTCAGTTGAGCGAATCTACCAAAAGAAGACACAGTTGGAACACATTCTCCTCCGTCCAGACACTTATATTGGCTCTGTTGAGCCAATCAAACAAAACATGTGGGTTTATGATGCAGAGACAGACGCCATTGTAAGTAAGGAAATCACTTATACACCTGGTCTCTACAAGATCTTCGATGAACTTTTAGGTAAGCGGATTGGACATATGTTTTTGCATTTCTTGTGGCCAGGTTTTACTGTAAAAATTAGGTCCTTGGGCAAGTTAGAAGCCTTTTCATTATTCGCCATGACCTTTTATTAACTTATCATTATTTGCTCTTTACCCTGTGAGCAGAGCCTTTTTTAACCTGTCCTTGAATCAAAAAGGGAAAAAGGCTCTGCCGACATCCTGTTGTTGCTCATTTGAACAGGTGGGGCGGTTGCCTTGAAATTGATCCTTTTCCAGGCCCCCTTGAACTATTGTGGGTGCAGATTTGGTCATCTGTGTACATGAAAAACAAAGGTGTGTGCACCAAAACTGGTTTGACTGGAGGCAAAACCGGCTTGAGTTGCCTGGAGTTTTGGGCTTTCAGTATTTCAAAGCAACAACAGGCTGTCAGCAGAGCCTTTTCCCTTGGAGGGTTAAAAAGAAGAAAAGGCTCTGCTCGCAGGGTATTTGCTCTTCTGATGGACTAACAATCAAAACACTGATCAGCTTTAGAAACTCTCTATGGTGGCTAATTTACTTTAGAAACCTAGTTGATAAAACTAAATTAATCCATTAACTTTTGATCTTTGTTTTAAAATTTTTGTGAAATTTCTTGAACAAGACCACATATCAAAGAATTAGGGAAAACAGTCTGTTCATGGTATTCAGTAACTTAGGTGAATGTACAAGTCATGTTGTAATCTGGTAATAATTATCTATGATATATTTCTTCTCCCTTTGAAGTGAATGCAGCAGATAACAAGCAGAGAGACCCTGGCATGGGCTGCATTAAAATAACAATTGATGCGTAAGTGACAAATTAATGAAACAAACCATTTTGTAACACAGTGACCCTATCATATGATCTAAGTGATAGTTAACAGGTTCACTCAGTTGGAAGTTAAGTTATTTCCTTACTTTCTAGCCCCTTGCTGTCCTATCACAAAGGCTAAATTTTTCAAGGCATGAGAATGCTTTGACAGGTTTCTATTGTGTGTACCATGTTCCTATTGATAATGATCTCAGTTGACTTAAACTTTTAACTCATAAATTGGAGTATGCCTGTTGTTGGTATTTAAATTTTTTGTTGGGTAATTGAAACCCTGCAAATGTACATAGTTTGTTCATATTTTACAAGTCTGTTTTAGGAAAGTGGACAAGATTTCCATTTAAATACTTAATTATGCTACCAGTTCCCTGATAAATGAAAACAATGGCGGAAAAAACAGATGGTTTTTGGGGCTACTGCAATAAAAGTGTTAGATTCTGCAGGGCTCAACACTAACTTTTCAACTTACCAGCCAAGTGGCTAGTGACATCTTGGATGTTTTTACAGGGTTGGTACAGGTCATGGAAAACCTGGAAAGTCATGGAAGTTTAAAATTTCATTTTCCAGGCCTGGATAGTCATGAAATTTAGGTGTGGGTCATGGAAAATCAATGTGCTCTCTATGAGTGAAAGGCAATAAGACCCAAAGTTGAAAAGTTAACTGACGAGTCCAAAAATCAGATTTAATTTCATTAGAAATAAACAGAAGCACGCATTGTGAGAACAATACCATTAGTTATCGCTTACCCTAGGTCATGGAATCTTTCAAAAGATCATGGAAAAAGTCATGGAAAGTCATGGAATTTTAACAGGTCAAAAGTGTACGAACCCTGTTTTAGATGTTACGACAATTTCAGTCTGTTTACTAGCCAAACTGGCTGGTGAAAATTGAAAATCAGTAGCCAAAACTGAATTTATACTAGTAGTCTGTGGCTAGTGGGCTACCGTTAGTGTCAAGCCCTGTTCTGCTATCTGGAGTTGTGTTTTTTTCCTAAGTACTAAAAGTGACTCTCAAACTTTGGTACCAGTGATGTATTGGTAAAATGCTAATTGTGTTTAACTTATATGGGCTTGTTTCCTCTGTTAAATTGTAGAGATAACAACACTATAAGTGTTTGGAATGATGGTCGTGGCATTCCTGTGGAGATGCATAAAGAACAGAAGGTGTATGTTCCAACCCTGATTTTTGGCCATCTTCTAACATCCAGTAACTACAATGATGAGGAGAAAAAAGTCACAGGTGGCAGAAATGGTTATGGTGCAAAACTTTGCAATATCTTCAGCACAAAATTTGTTGTGGAAACTTGTTCTTCTGACTCAAACAAAAAGTTCAAACAGGTACATTTTGTTCTTAAATACATGCTAGGTGTTCATGATCCTTAAAGTTAAAGAGAAACTCCTATAAAAATTTCCATGTTGGCAAACATATACCTAACAATTATTCCACAAGTATGCATTGGATATGAGATGATTGGACCAAGTTTGCCATAACCATCTCATCCAACAAGTGCAAGTGGAACCATTGTGTTATCAAAAACTCCCCAGTATATGGATAAATCTTCCCAAGTTTATTTTTATGAACAAATAATGTATAACTTGTTCCTTTTCTTGGTTGTAGACTTGGACAAACAACATGGGAAAAGTTACAGAGCCCATTGTAAAGGATTTTAATGGAAAGGACTTCACTTGTGTTACATTCAAACCAGACCTGGCAAAGTTTAAAATGGAAAGTCTTGATAAAGACATCATCTCACTCCTCTCTAGGAGGGCGTATGATGTTGCTGGTTCTGTCAGAGGAATTGCTGTATATCTCAATGGAAAGAAGTTGCCTGTATGTAATTTGTTGACAATACTTATGCTATAGATTGCTTGATTCACTAAGCACTTTCACAAACCATAAATGGCTAAGTCATATGTTGCAAATATTCCTTTTTGTCTAGAGCAGAGATACATGTAATACATTGTACTTTCTGGATAATGAAATTCTGATTTTAAGGTGGCTCGTACCAGTTTTCATCTTTTTGATGGTTTGTAACTTTGAAAGAATACAACAGAAAGACTGACCAAGGCCAGTTGAACACTTTTACGGGGTTGAATTACATAATCATTGGTTATCCAAAAATAAGTGTCATTTCGTCACTAGCAGTTTCCATGGCAATGCTTTCATAGGCTTATTCAGACGCATTTTTTAGCTTGTGGCTTAAATAATTCGAAAACTAACCCGGTGACCCCCTGATTTTTTTCAGTGATTGCTTTTGGCACTTGAAAAGGAAAATGCACAAAGATTTTT